TTGTTAATTTGTTTTTTATTCACCTAGGATTATATGATGAACACATCTGCGGATGTTTCTAAATTAGAAAAAAATACCATATCATGTAAAATAATGAATTCTGCTTAATCTGATGCTAGTGGGCGTGGAAGGCAGCTAGCATTTTCCAAAACCGTGCATGAACGGACTCAATCAAATAACGCTTGCAACATTTTCAATTTTCCCATTTTGGATGTTCTTTAAGAATTTCGTTTTCTCTATTCTTTCACCATTCTAAATGATATTTACTTGTGAATAAGATTAAAGTAAAGTAAGTACAACATGAATACAAAAACCCAGTCAGCGGGTTCAACATATACATGCATATCAATTTTTTATCTGAATAAAACAAGACTATTAGACTATAAAGATTTTTTAAAAAAAGAATAAGTAAATTTGCGTTGGTCAAACATAAAAACATTTTTTATTGAAACGTGTATATGTATTGTCGACGTAGTTTTATGAAATCTATTTTCCAATAATAATCTCTAAACAATGTTCCAGACGGATATATTGTTGTTTCTGTGGTAATACAAGCGGCAGTCTCCAGACACTTACGACATTTATGATTGTATGTCCATTTCTATCGTAAATGTGATGTCAGACTTAGATATTATTAACTTTTTTTCTCAGTGGCATTTCTATAAATATTATACAATGAATAGCTAAATTGATCATGACCTTAAATAAATATGTAAAAACAGATTTTTAATGATAACAAAATGATGACATCATTTGATGTCTTGCCGGAAATAAAATTAAATGGTCTTACTTTTCTAAATTAAGAGTAAAATTATATTTGCATTATCGTTGTTGGAATGTTAATGCATATTTGTTTGAATCGGATTACAAATGCTAGGCCTAGTTTACATGTCACAAGCCAATCAGTCGCACTGCTGTTCTTATTATTTCGCGACATGTGCGACACCGCAATAGATTTTTTTTCTTTTATTCTGCGTATGGTATTAAAATTCTAACACAACATTTCAAATTTGCTCCAGCCCGTGCCTCGGGGCGTATACAAAAGCATGTTTTACAGCTGCCGTCAATGTGCAGGTGACTCAGTCTAAATGAGAATTGAAAACATTTTCGATTTGCCCCCTTCAGGGTTACCTCTTTTGGCTTTCTTTAAATAGTGCATGTGCATGGTACTGCATTGTGCGCAGTTAATTCATATTGAGACATTTCACTTTCGCTCAATTAACAGTTTGTTATATTTGATTGCACATATTTCAGACTTATTAAACAGATCTTCTGCTGAATTTGCAAAATACTATCAAATTGTCTTTGCAATACCTTGATTTCTTGTCATTAAATGTTAAGCAACTCTAGAAAAAAGGGTGATTCTTCACGAGCAGTGGAAGGTGAAAATCATAGATTCATAGTTCATATGGTCATGAGGTAAAAACCACACGCCCGATAGCGCTTGTGTAATTTTTACCAAATAGATAAATACAGAATCCCTAAAGAAAGCCCAACACAGCAAAATTGAAAATGTTGCAGGCTCGGTTTAATTGAGCCTGTTCATGGACAGTACTGGAAAGTGCAAGCTACCGTCCACGCCCCCTAGCAATGACTTCAGAATAATTAGGAGAGTGGTTTGCAACTTTTCAAATGCCAAGAATGACTTTACAATCTCGCTTTTGTGAAAGTAGACGTTGTCACGTAAAAGATGGACTAGTCTCCATCCTTTGCTTGGACGATTCTTAATGTTAAAAGATTTCTTGTAAAACTGGCTAGTGACTGTGTGACCAGATGGATAAGGCACTTGAACGACTGGTGCACTAGAATTAAAGAAAATTGCATGCAACATTTCCAATGAACGTTCGATTGTTTTGATGTTGCTTCTTTTAGCAACAACTGTTTGTTATCGACCCTTCTTTAAGGTTCAAATTTAATCACCTGGCAGTGAGAAATATCCAGACTGTCACAGTCATTGTATGTGTTCATAAGTTCTAGGGTGCACTTAAAGCTCTCTTTATTAGCGACTCGATGAGCAAAACTAATGCAAACATTTCTAAGACCGCTTGGTCAGAGTTAGATGAATACTGCCTTCTGATATGCCAGTACAACTAACTAATCTCCTTAACTGACAATCTTGCATCCTGCATCCGCAGCAATGTTAGCCTTGGTTATAGGCCTACCTGAACGGAAGATATCTTTCACAATTGCCCATCTTAAAAGCTTTGACCCACTAAAAGATCGTGCGCTTTGAAATGTCCTGAGATCCATATATTCCACACCATTCATTATGTATCTGCATTGCAGCTGTATTAAGCCTTTTGTGACATTTAATGGAACTTCGAATTTAAGTTTTGTTGTCCATTGTACATATGTCAGTGTTTATGACTGCATATATTCCGAATTGAAATATCTCGCTCATTTCAAACGCAAACGGCATGAAAGAAACGTTATATTTAAGTGCAATGAAGCTTTTAAAACATAATGACAATAAAACTACGAAAACTTATTGTAACTTATTGAATGGTCCTTGTAATCATGGGGACATTTCTAAATATTTACAGACTGAAAAGCGAGCAGTGCAAGCCATGATCAGACGACACTGGTCGCATGAGTAGAATCTGTTGCTGCCAACAGGCTAATGGGTAAAGATCTTCTACAGTCGGGTAATAGTTCAATCAATGAGTTTGTGTAGCGGTACTGAACCGGTTGTTGTACATACCACTTAATTTCATCGCTGTGTATCAGCAAACTGCTCTCAGCGGTTATTTCCCCTGGTCAGTTCAAGCAAAAAAAAGGCGTGAGGGATGCAACAGGTTCGAGGAGACATAAAAGTGTTTTCATACATAATAAAAGAAATTTCCAAAAGAAAATTGCGCATGCTTAAGTAGACTGTGTTTACATTTAAATGTAAAATGGTCTAAATTAATACGATGTTAACCCTGAAACCCCTGAAAAAAATCTCTTTTTTTGTTCAAAAATACAATACAGTCGGCATCGTACTTGCGTCCATCTTTATTAAGCGACTTTTTTATTAAGCGGCCGCATAAAATCCCTCCCGGTGATTTTTACTATTTAATTTAATTCCATTAAACGACTATTTTTATATCGCGGCCAGCGGCCACTGAATGTCGGCCCAAATGTACAAAATTAAGTGTTAAAGTATCTATTAAACGGCCGTGACAAACAATCGTCCCTGCGGGAATTCTCACCTGTGTAATTAGCGAGTAGGTAAGATGTGTACAAGCAAACAAACAAATATTTTTCATGGTCAACGGTCACAAATAATTGTCGTTTTAAAACGAAATAAATAACAATTGCAATCGTTACAAAATCGGATTTTCCGATCGTAATATTTATTGTGACATATTTTGTCAGAGCAATAACGTATCACAACACCGCATTTGCATAGTTTTGTCATGTGCTCAGAGTGACCTCCCTTATCGAAAATCACGTCGGATCGATCGAAAAAAAGACAGACAACTAATAAGACCGGATAAATTGTATGAGGAAATCGTGCATGGAATTGAGTGTGAGTAAATAGCAAATGTCATCGATTGTAGTCGAAATAAAATCGTGAAACGTAGTGGACTAAACATTACAGAACCGAGCCATTCATTGCTGACGGTGTAGGTGCTCATCTGATGCTTTATAAAATACATGTAGTAGATCCATTAAATATGACCCTTCGACAAAAAAAGACAAAAAAATCCTAGATCTTTAAAAATCTTATTGAATTTGAAATCGGGGTAGTGTGGAAACTAATTGTTGAAAAAATTAAGAAGTTTAAAACTCATTGCATAAAAAAATATCTGGAGCTCTGGCTGATGATTCTAAAGTATGTTCAGCAGGAGATGTGTATGAACATATTAAAAATATAAGACAATATGCTTTGTTTCATGGTCAAAATGACCTGTTGACAGTATTATGAGCGTAGATCACATTTGAACACAAATTTCTACTAAAAAACAAAAACAAACAATATTGATGATTATTTTTTTTTAAAAGGCATAAATATATATGTAATTATAAAACTGTAAAACATACATCATATTGTATAGTTTTTGTTTTTAATAAAAAAGATGTTATTATATCTATGACTTGTAATAAAAAGTCTCGAATTTTCCAGAATTCTATTGAGAGACCACTTTATTAAGAGACCACTTTTTGGCAGTCCCTTGAGTGGTCTCTTAATACAATGTCGACTGTATTATAATATTGTGATGACATTTAAATGTTGCCTACGAGAGTTTTCATTTCTTCCAAATGCCTATACTACAATGTACAAATAGACCTCCAAGATGGATCTGTAAAAGTAAAACTAACAATGAAAAACACGACACTAATGTGATTAAAATCTAACGACTCATAAGTTCTACACGACCTAAAATTTAATGTTGAAAGGTTTGCATGCTCAATTCTCATCGTTGAGAAATTACCATTGTTCAGTTCTTAAAGTTAAAGAAATGAATCTTATGTCATTTGATCAGTTTCACTGATTGATTGATTGATTGATTGATTTTCTTTAGACCGGGCGGTCAATGATAACCTACGAAAGTGCAAGCACTTATTTCCAGTAGGATCCTTACCTCAGCAGACTCCAGAGACAGCTATGGGATACAAGGGAGTCCGGGAACCAGTCCCTAGCTCTTATTGAATAGATCCCTTGGTTCTTTACATGTCCAGTGTATAGCACTGATACATGCGAGGATTACCTGGGTTTCGTAACAGTAAGCCTCTAGGTAGGTGGGAAACACTGAATGTGTTTCTGAAAAATCCCAACGGTTTACCCAGGATCGAATCCGGAACCTCAGGAGTGACAGTCAGTGGTCTAACCTACTGAGCCATCGTGTCACTGACTTGTTGTGTCGTACAAAGTGACAGTATAAAAACAAATATCAAATAAAAAGTGATCCATCGGAAGCATTTAAAACAGCAAAATTACATGAAAATTGCAAACTCGATTCGATTGAGTCTGTACATGACGGGTAATGAAAAAGTGCAACATCCCTCAAGCCCCCTATCACCGGCTAGAACGGTACTCAATTATCTACACTTAAAAGTGGTAGACTCAATTATTCCGAAGGACCAGAGAAATATAACAACACTGAAGTGAAGTAATGGGTAACTTTTCACGGCTGCTACACAACACTTATGTGACGCACAAATATCTGGGGGAAAAGGTGATCCACAAGGAGTGTTCGGATGATTGGACAGTTGAATATGACTTGGACAGTATAAAAAGACGTTCCGTCCCAATCGTTCTATAAATATAAGATGTTCAAGTAACCTGAATAATTTAATGTCGAGGACAAGTGTATAATACTGCAAGAGAAAAAATATTTAACACTTTTGAAATAAAAAAGTATATTTCTATTTGTGGTGAAATAAAAGGTGAATGGTATGTGCAAATATTATTGTCTATTTTATACAAATGTAAAACAATTCGTATACATGCTATAAAGTATAGGCTAAATGAATGTTTTGTAGAACATTTCTATTTTTCATATATGTGGCCTTGTCTAAATAATATAAAGATATTGATGTTCTATATACATTGTATACATCGAGGTTTCTATGTATCATACATCCATTGGTTCTATATGTTCTATATATAGAAGTTTCGTTTCTCACTCTTTAATTCTCACACTGAAAGTCAGCATGACAAAATACGCAGGTTACAACGGTACAGATATCTTCATACAAGCTGATCACTGTTAGAACTGCTCCGATCCCTTTATAATTTATTTTTCTATCTTTAAGATGCATCATCAACACATAAATTAACTTCAACCTCGGTATCGGCAACAATTTTAGTATTATCCACAACTTCCTCAGTTGGTTCTTCAACAATGTCGGCTTTGGATACTTCTATAACAGTTGGTTCGTCCTCCTCTTCAAGGTGTTTACATAGTTCCACTTGAATGAACCCGTATAGAAGTTTGTAATTGTTTTCAGTTGTTTCCGTAAACCTGTCTGATCCGAGAACAAGTCGGATATTTTCTATAAACGGATCATGATAGTCCTGAAAATGATAAGATAAAGACTGGTCTATATTCTAGACAGGACAGTATGCAGTGATTAAAAAAACTTATTGTTTGCAAAAAAAATTATCAAGAACAGTTAAACTTCTAAATGGCGGTAGTCTTAAGCACCAATTAGAAATTGGATTGCTTTTACAAACTGAAAATAATTTGGGTTTTCTACATGTATAAGATACTGGTTAACCATACACCATCAATAATATACACTAAATACGAGATATCGTAGATATCTTAAATACGCATAGTCTTTGATACTGCAAAATTCTCTATGATTTTCTTCCGCAAATTTAAAATTTGTTCCCAACATTTTCATGACAAATAAGTAAATTCTGTAATTTGGCTTAAATGTCACGAATTTATTTAACCTTTGTAAATAGCATCAAATAGCAAATGCTTTTTCCTCACAGCAGTAAAAAAGAACAGAAAGATAAGTAGTTTTAAATGGAAACATTGAAAATTATATTGTTGACATGCAAAGGTAAGTGCTTTTTTTCTGGTGATTTCCATCACATGTCAATGTCACGGTCAATGTCATTAGGTCGTCTGCAGAGAGTTTTATCGTTTGTTTTGTAAGAGAAATATGAAACTTTTACCATTACAATCAGTCTATATGTGAAAATCATATAAAGTAGAAAGACGAAACGGAATTGGATAATTCCCTGGTGTGTTATAACTTTCTGAAATGGCAAATGAATGTACTGTATGGTATGAAACTAATAGAATGTTAAGTGACTGTCTGCGTGTCAAGATTGTTTTCATGACAGAGGTAACTAATTTTGTTTTCTTCAAAGATTTCATCAGACAAAATATGTCCAAAAACTATTATAAACTGCGCAAAATTGAATTACGGGATAAAACTGACATTTGACAGAGGTCTATCACAAAATGAATAAATAACATCAATTGAATAAATAGTTTGTTAAAACGTAGATCTAGCATGAATGCCAATACAATTCGTTTCAATGAAGTGGAACAATGTGCTGTATTTAAAGAGTATAGTAATCAAATAAAAAATGGTTTTGATTTTTACATTAAATGCGCGTTATCAAAAAATGAAATACTGCTTGCCAAGTCAAACACGTAATCAAAAGCATTGAATACACGTTTTATAAATGGTTTTTTAACAAGTTTAAGCTAACTTGACCTGTATAAAGATGTACAAATATTTAAATTTATCTGAAGCGTAAGGTTCGGCACCATTCAATTATATATGCATATAAACATTTATGTTATTTAAATACAAATTATCTCAGTTTTAGGGAAAGGTACACATGTCGTCCGAGTTAAACTTAAGTGCGCTGACAAGAATTAAGGAAACATTCTAAAGTGTAATTACATTGTTATAATAACTGAGATCAATCTACAAACGTGTAACGTCTTTTTTTAAGGAAATCGCTGACATCAGAATATGTTTTAAGTTAACATCACTAATGACGTACTCCTGTGTTTACAAACATTTTGTATTAAAACAAACAGTCTTGTCATCTATTGGATCTTGCCTGCCTATTACATTTCTTTAAAACAATATACTTAAGACAATTAATACTACATATTTATTTTTTTGTATAGACTATTTCTTTTAAAAATGGTTTAATATTGTTTATTATTCCTTTTTAATACGTTTCAAATACAATGTATCTCCATCATTTTTCAATAACTTACATGCCAAGTTACAAATCTTTCATAGAGACGCAACATAAGTATCTTAAAGTAAGGAAGTTTTTCATAATCACAAAGAAGCAGAACATTTGAGAAATAGGCTTATGAATGCAAGGCATTATTAGATATAAAGGTCAAAGTTAAGTGCCACCATAGAAACAATTACCTTGACCATTTTATGTGAAAATTGTGTGGCGGCAGCACCGTATTGTATCTCTTGTATAGCTTTGTCGACGTTTTCTAGATTAGCGATGACCCCGTCAAATATACAATATATATCCATTGACTTGTCTTCAAAATCTTGATTCTTCCTCAATTCTTCGAGCTCTCCATCTTGTATTCCACTAATACTCGAGTACTTTGCTTTGTAATGAGGATGGCTGTTTAAAAATCTGGAAAAAACATATTTGTTCACTTATAAATTTCTACATTTCGAAAATTTTGACAGCGATAAAAGATGAACTAAGTGTTGACTTTACGCAAATAAAAGCAGTGCAACAGTAACTTTCAAGTGTTTTTAATTTTGTAGAGTACAAAGGATTAAATGAATTTGGCCATATTTCGTTATACAATAAAGATAAGTTAATTGTTATTCAAAATAATTTACGTTTATAATGACCGAACAGAAAATATATCACAGTTACAAAATGTATGGTATTTTTGTTGTTGTTGATTTGTTGTTTTTGTTGTTGTTGTTGATTTGTTGTTGTTGTCGTTGTTGTTGCTGCTGTTGTTGTTGATGATGACGATGACGACGACGACGACGACGACGACGACGATGACGATGATGATGATGATGATGATTTGTTGATGTTTTTTTTTTTCATTTACGTATAAAATCTATATATCATTATTAGTTATATACATGCATATATTATGATAGCAAATTTATAATGAAACACAATTAATACAAAATAAACATAATAATATATATGTAGTTATATTATTTGCAGCTTTGAATATGGAACAGTTCATTCATAATTTGAGGGATCTGAAGATACAATGGTTAATCAACAGGTTATGGGTTAACATAGATTGTTTTGTTTAGTAAAACATTAATAATTCAATTTTAACTTTTTATGTAGTGTTTAGATATTCATTAAGATCGTTTTTTGCAAATATACCAATCATTATGATATTCGTCAATTTGAGGTAGTTTTCATTTAGAAAATTTTATAAATTACACAAATCTCTCCTAAATGTATCTCAAAGAATTGAATTAAATTATTCATTGATTACAATAGATCATATCTTAATTTTCTCCATTAGAGGAACACATTCAATACAATACAATACAATACCATAATAATCTAAACAATCTCTTAACATATACCATGATGCATGTACATTTATATACAAGACTTAATTTCTAAGGCAATAGTTTGCAAAAATAGATCATACCAAACAAATACTTATATTTCACCACTTCTTTAGAATAAACTCACTTCTCTAAAACCGGAAAAGATGGCCCTTGCCAGCATTCTGATCAGGCCATATTTATTTCAAATTTTCATCTTGATAACCCCAAAATTGACAATGAAAAGTCTCGCAAATGAAAGTAACATATTATTATAATACATGTACTGAAAACGTAAACATATTGAATAATTATATGGAGAATGTAAGTAAGGATGTTGTTTATAATACTGACCTAGGTATTTGTTTATAACACTGACCTAGGGATGTATACAAATATTGACATGTACATACATGTTATATTGTATTATATTAAATAATTATAAATTCAAGATTTTATGATAAGTCAAATAAAAGCATTCTCTTTAGCATAAATGTAAATGCGGTTTCACGCGATTACTTCGCTTTTCTATTATTTGATGGAACTTATATTAGCTTTATCTCATGCTTAATGGGACAAAATCTTAAAATCTGTTAATAAAGCATTCAATCATCGATAATCTTTGGGAATTTTATCAAAGATCTATTCATTTGTGATTGAGATTGCGTATTGTATACAAAATCGTACAGAGCTAAATCGATAATGTATATGTATAAATTTGCAAACACTCTTAATGGAGTTGTATCAAGTCACTGCCCATATTAAATGTAAACCGCATTAATAATAAGGACTTGCTCTGAGGACGAACCTATATAAACTAATTAAATATTTACTTTAATCTTATTATAGTAATGCACAGAAGTATAAGATTCGGTTTCGTAAGTGCCCATAAAACTGGAGCAATCTGACGGTAAATTTTCACCAAATTAATTTAGTATCTTGGCATGCAATCAACGAAAATATTGCTGTAATCAAGCGATGGATGATCGATCTTCGAGGGATGGATAATCGATCTCTGAAAAAAAATCTGTCGCTTCGAAAAGATACAAACGTGACCTTACAGACGGACAGACCGGACGAAACTGGAAAAAAATATTTACGAAAATATTACAGTTTTCCCCACGCATCATGAATATATACATGTAGATGTATGCACAAACCTCTACAAAATTCACACCATCTTAAAAATTACTGTTTTATCTTTAATCCTATAAATTGTGATGTATATTTACAAAAATGTATTTATTTATTTATTTTTATTTATTTATTTATTTATTTATTTATTTATTTATTTATTTATTTATTTGTTTATTTATTTATTTATTTTTATTTATTTCTTCTGTTCAAATGTTGTAACATCCGAACAAAAGAAACAATGTCCGTCTTTTTTACCTCATAAATGTTTCTGTGGCATGTTCTTCCATAGACCTCTGAATTGCCTTCCATGCGTTGCGTATACTAAATATCTGTCTATAGTTCGAAAACGGTAACCTTGGGTCAACAGTTTTCCGGGCCGACTGTGACTCCGGTAAGTTAACTTTTTTCTTTTGTTTCTTTTCTTTCACTGGTTTGTCTTCCTTTGATTTTCTAGATCCCGATTTAGAACGGAAGAACTTTGATTTTATTGCACCCATTATATATCTGTTATCCCTGAAAGAACTTTACAAATGCAATAATTTGAATCCGATCACGCACAAACATTTACTACAAAAGTTATCTCACTTCAGAATATTATCTTCTCCAAAAATCCATGATTTTAAGTCTCTTTTTAACACACACTTTTCTATAAATCTGCCAAAAATGGAACTTCAAATGGTTTTCACATTAGAAACTTTTACCGTTCCGCACTTTTCAACTAAATAAATATACGGTGTATATAAATGGTAGGTTTAAATAGCTATTGATCCCGTCATAGTAAATATATATTAGAATTACAAAAGTGAGATTTAATGAATGTAAATTGACAGTCACGGGTAAGGTGGATTAAACATATCAGGTTAGCTTCTATGTGGTATAAGTAATGATTTACTTACACTGTGTCGTAAAATTTCATTTTGTTTTGAAAGAAAATGCTTAGCGTCTACAAAATGGCTTAAGTGGTTTAAGGATTTAAGAGTATTTTAGTTGACCATGCAGTTTGATATTTAAACAAATAAAACTACTTTTTTGTATACCTTTACCTAAAAAGACTATGCTGTCCTTGAAAAATATACATAACATAGTCTTAACATTTATGTTAGTTTAAAATCAGCTTATAAAAAAAACAATCATTTACGTTATCATGAATGCATTATCTAAAACCTGTGTCTCCTGTTACAATTTGTTATAAATGAACAACACAATGTCATTGTTTATTGAACGACGTATATAGACCGATATAGAACAATGCTTTAATGTAACAAGCGCAATAAATCGCTCTACATACAGCCAGGAACGTTTGTATACAAATACATACACTGATATATTACACAATTTAACTTAACGCAATCATGTGGAAAACAAAGAATAATCTGCATTGAACATTTTTAAGTTCTAAAATGCAAATTTGATAAGAAACATGCGGGGTTTGGAACACAATCATAAATGTTATATACAAGTTAGCCTACTTATGAGTGCTTTCCTAGATGATAGGGATTACGTATCAAATCCAGTTAGTTGAATAAATTCAGAAACCTTAAAGTAAATATTGAATTGTATACACACGCACACACGCTCAAAAACAATTTCTTTCAGTTCGGTTTCTGCTGCTTGAAAAAGAGGTGCAAATACTATTGACAACACCTGTATATACATCAGCTTAGACAAAACTAAATTAACATTCCATTACAGTTCTTTACCCTTAAACCAGGAAAAAGAGCCCTTGCCACCGGAATCGAGTCCGACCAATTTGTGCGTGCGCGTGTGCCATATGTGAAACTCTTGGGTATATGAAATACATGTAATACTGGATTTGTAGAGCGGACAGTGGTCATAGAAAACTGTGCATTAGTGATTACTGTCAAATGACAAATTAGCAGAAAACGACGAAACTAAGGTTTCGACGTTCATATAAGCTTCGTCATCAAGTGCCTGGTGCATATTGTCAGCATCTTGCAATTCGAATATGTTGGAGGAATTATGGCCTTTTATTTTTTTACATAAATGATATACATGTATAGGTATTGATTTGCATCTTTTATGTTTCTGTAGATTTGGAATGGTGATTGTACTAATTAGATGCATATTAAAAAATCAGACTAAAGTAAAAAAATAACACAGAAGTGTATTTCTCTATATATAATAAATGTAAAAGAAACAAAGGGCCATAACTCTGTAAAAAATGTTCTCCAAACACTGACAATATGCACCAAGACTCTTGATGCTGCTGCTGCTGTAAAATTGAAAATCGCTTGAAAAATGTAGTAGGAAGTGAGAACATAAGTGTTTTTGTGTGTTTGTTTGTTTTTCTTTCTTTCTTTTACGGAAAAGCTAGTCAAAAAGCACGCTGCATATCACATATCACGGGTTTTTGAAAGTGTCTGCAATAATAAAACATGCGCACATGTATATCCCTGGTTAAGCTAGAACATTGGGTCCGTTCTCAGTACGCCCAAAATGTGGAACGTAAGAAAATAACTAAAATGCACTGGCGAAAATAACCTTTCACAATTTATACACATAAAGAAAGTCGTGAAAAAGTTGTGAAAAGATTGGGAATATGACCGCTTGGATAATTGTTTTACAAAACTCAAATAACACAGTTGTACCGTGACCATGGAAACATCTTTTAGAATGTTGCAGACCATGACTTTGACTCTCAAAATGCAGTGCGAGAAAAATGATATTATAATTATATGCTGTCAGAAAAATTAAGATATATAAATCCTTCGGTAAACAGAAATTTACACACAAAAAAATGCTCATACTGCTATATATAGCATCAGAATCAAATAAATCCAGAGGAATTAACGTTTAGAAGAGAATAGTGTGATCGGGGTGAAGTTAAATATTTACCACCCAGTCATGTGAAAAATACTATAAATAATTGTTTAATAATGTGAATGCTAAATTACCTTTGCACAAACTAATTTTAATTAAGCGAACAGTGTGTATTTTTATTCATTTATTATTATTTTATTTTTTTTTTGGGACGTTTTTTTTATATTATTTACTTATATACAGTCGTGTATTATGTGTGTATGTATCTTTAAATAAAATGGTAACTGAAATTTTCTTTCCTGTTTGCTAGAAAAGTGCGAGTAAAGATACAACTTTTTATCATTTTATTTTACTTTTCTGTAGTTAACTTTCTTTAGGCTAATTAGTCACAGGTAACCGGAAGTTGACATCTTTTTAATCAACAGGTGTGATAAATATGTGTAAGTTATCTGATAAATCAAGTACTATTAGTTTATTAAGTCGCAATATTTCATGTATGATAAAAGGTTATTGTTTTGCTATTAGATATATCTGACGAGAACGTTTTGTGGCTGAAACGCCAGTTATATATATTTTCTTTTTATTTCTGTTCAACAGTTATTAAAATGATAATGAGGAAATTCTAATATTAGTTTATAATTAGCCAGTTGTTAACAACATTGTTGATTGTGTAAAGAGAAGGAACGTAAGAAAACTACTTTACTAGTTTAGTTAAATTATTTTTTAATTTTTTTTTTGTTTTCTTCATACATGTTAAGTTTCACATTGTTGGTTAAATTTTTATTTTAAATACAGTAAAAATTAAGCACTAGCTTAATTTCTGTTGTTTTTCTTTGTCATAATATAAAGAGTTGTAATTTGAAATGGTTTATTCTGTCTGTCTATTTCCCAATAAGGTTGAACTCCTTGCAACATGCCTGTACAAGGGACACTAATATTATATACTGAGGTTTTTGACATACATGTAACATGACTGGAAATAATATTTTAAAGATTTTTGTTCCGTTGGATGCTGGTCTAAATCATATTAACTTGTGCGCAACATTTGAAATTAGTCTCTCACTCAGTTTTTCTAGAATAATTATTTGACTAAAATATGACCTCACCCAAAATAAAAAAAGTGTTGCAAAGCTTTTCCCACAAATCCGACTAAGAATGGCACAAAAATATGATATTTTAATTTTTATGTCTATTGTTTTTTACATAACTTTCTGTTTTGTATGACCTCCAGCTGATTTTTGTAAGGAATTGAAATTTTATGATTTAGGCGTTTGTACCTTTATAGTGGAGTTTCTTTGGGTTTTGTTTTGTGTAGTCTTTAAATCAGTTATATAGCTACTGTGAGTACAGATTTAAATCAGTATTCTTTGTCAAAGTGTGTGACTTGATTACCTTCTTCCAAAGATTTTTCTGTTTGTTTTGGGCCAGTATCTCAAATAATTTCAGTTTTATTATGAGCCACATATTGTACACACCATTTTTATAGCCCTTACAAGAAAGTATTGCTAAGTGACATTTAATCATGTTTTTAAACTTTTTCGAAATGTCAATACCAAGCTTAAATAAATTAAGGCTTTATAAATGGAACTTTTTGTTGTTAAATACAAATCACTTCTTTTGAAATTAATATATAATATTATATAAACATTGATGAATAAATGTATCACTTGAAGTTTTATAGTTCTACATAACCAGAAACAAAATATAAAATAAATTTATTATAAATGAATACTAATATACACTTTCCAGATAGACTTCTTACAACCTCTTGAAGTTATTTGTTAGCAGGGTCTTTCAAATTTCTATTTGAAAGATCCTGTTGTTAGTAATAGAAATCATTTTCTGTGTTTTATTTACTCTACTGGTTTCCTAGCAGTTTCCGTCCCCTAGCAGTTTTCCGGCTGTTTATCATTTTCGTCCGGTACAGTCTATTTTTACCAGTAAGGCATCTATATTACTTCATCAATCAGAGAGACATTTGTTTTCTATGCTAAACAGCATTTAAAATAGTGTTTTGAAGTTTTGCCTGTTATTTAAAGTTACATAAGAGAGCTTGTGACTTTCAAAAATAAGCAACACCAGGGGAATTCTAGATTGAATATCCATGCACAATAACTAAGACCCCATTTTAGGTAAATCAATACTTTGGAAAATATTTTTGCAAACGACACGGAAAAGGTTGGGAAGTTCTGTTTGTCTGATAAAACCATCTTAATATTGCTCTATGGTACTGAATTATATTCAGAATAAAAAAGATCCGGAAAACTGCTATGAATTTTTGAATAAAAGTGATAAAAGGTGTTACATTTCAGGCCTATATTCAAATTAAAAAGTAAAATGAATCTGCAACATTAAACACATGGCAATGCTGAACAGGTACCTAACTTTGTCCCGTCAAAGTTTTGTACCCCTCCCTAGACTGATTTTTATGTTATTTGTTAAAAAGTGTGATTTGTGGCTGGAAACTGCTAGGAAACCAGTATGTTAATGTGAAAGGGAGAAAGATAATTGATGGATATTTGGATAGTATGATAATTTCATGTTTGCCTATATTGCAGATTAAGAGATGGGTCATTCAAAGGTTGGTTTTGCAGTATTTACAGGACTGTTGCTGATCTCTGTCTCTTTTGTTGTTAGTACATCAACAACAACAGCAGCAGCACCATCTGTACCAAGTGATGATAATAACAAAACAACAGAGAAACCATCACCAGGTATTCCCCCAAGCAGAAGCAGCAATGTACCAGGCAACAGTCTTACAACAAAAGTGCCATCACATCTAACTTCTGGCACAAATGTGACACAAAAGACTTCTGTCCTTTCTACAACACATCCAAGTAATTCAAATAATGCACAGACTTCAAAGTCTGATAAATCAAGCTCAACTCCAGTGCCTTCCACTGCTAGTCCATCAAGTGATAACTCATCATCAACAACTCTTAAACATAAAGTAACTTCAGCTGAAAATAAAACCCCTTCCACTACAGCTAAACCTTCTAATGATTCAGCTTTATCTACATTGAAACCTAGTACAACACCTGCTGCACCAACTAAACAGCCTAGCAGTAATAGACCAACTCAGAAACCTACTGGCTCTGTACTTCCTACTCAGAATCACACTGACATGTCAGCATCAACTCAGAAAGCTGGCAGCACACCTGTTTCTACTGATAAACCTAATAACACACCTGTTATGACTCAGAAAACTAGCAACAGTGTTAAAACAACTCAGAAATCAACTTCTACAAAGTTGACAAAAACATCTGCATCTCTGAATTCAAATAAAACCACATCACTTGTGCCAACTGCCCAACCATCCACTCAGTCTCCAACACCGAAGTCTTCAACACAGTCACCATCAACAGAAAAGCCTGCAGTGAAGTCACCATCAACAGAAAAGCCTGCAACAAAATCACCATCAACAGAAAAGCCTACAACAAAATCACCATCAACAGAAAAGCCTACAACAAAATCACCATCAACAGAAAAACCTACAACAAAATCACCATCAACAGAAAAGCCTGCAACACAGTCACCATCAACAGAAAAGCCTACAACAAAATCACCATCAACAGAAAAGCCTACAACAAAATCACCATCAACAGGAAAGCCTGCAACACAGCCACCATCAACAGGAAAGCCTGCAACAAAGTCACCATCAACAGAAAAGCCTGCAACACAGTCACCATCAACAGAAAAGCCTGTAACACAGTCACTATCAACAGAAAAGCCTGTAACACAGTCACCATCAACAGAAAAGCCTGCAACACAGTCACCATCAACAGAAAAGCCTGTAACACAGTCACAATCAACAGAAAAGCCTGCAACACAGTCACCATCAACAGAAAAGCCTGTAACACAGTCACCATCAACAGAAAAGCCTGTAACACAGTCACCATCAACAGAAAAGCCTGTAACACAGTCACCATCAACAGAAAAGCCTGTAACACAGTCACCATCAACAGAAAAGCCTGCAACACAGTCACCATCAACACACAAGACACCACAAACAAGTAAGAAATTTTGCATGTTATTATTAAAACTTTGCCACTTGTGTACTTAATTTCATATCAGTGGTTGATTGGCTCTTCTTTTTTTTGATAAATAATATGACAGGTTCATAGAGCATATTTGAGAAAATAAAAAGACAGAATCTCACTTGAATGTGTAGACATTTTTGTTTACCTGTTTTATATTTAAAAAAAAACATGGGATGTAAAATAGGATTGTGGCTTGTGGGTGGCAGGCAGCTTACAGACAGCCTACAGCTTTCTTAGGAGCATGATAATATTCTACATGCATGCAGGTATTCAAGCATTGCTTGACACAAATAGTCTGAAGGTCAGTGGTCGTGGGCACACTTAGAGGTCAAATGTCAGATATGTATATACCGAGCCACTTTGAACTGTGGGATTGTAAAAAAGTGTTCATGGTCAATATATACAGTCCAGATTTAGTCAATAGTATATCTACATGCATGAAAGAATTTAATATTACTAAATGATACAAATATTTACCACCATGAAATGTGAACCAGGTCTTTAGGTCAAACCTTCTAAACTACAATGATATGTCATTGAAACTTCACACATTTATAAAGACTAGTAAGAGGAAGGACAGTTTTAAAAAAGCATAACTCTTCTTAGTCTCCTGGCTTGAAGAATAATAGGGCTATCCTACTCACTCGGGTGTTGGCATCGGCTTTGTCATCAGCATAACACTGGTTAATGTTTTTTATGCAACATCAATTTAAAACCACAGATGGTGTTTGCTTCAAACTTAATACAAGTCTCCTGTATCATAGTTAAAGGTCACTTTCCAAGGCCTATAACTCTAGTACTTTTGGAGGAGTAAGGATTGAGCTCTTACTGATCCAAAGTTTTTATTTTCAAAAGTATTAAATTGTATAAATTTTTTATAAAAGCTTGTAGAAGATTGCCATTATTCTGGTTATAATGATTAACCTGTTTTTCAGCCTCTGTTTTACCGATAAGGCATGAATTTGTGTACATCAATGAGATAATGCTGGATAAGACAGGTGGATTTCAGAAAGTGGAGTTACTGTGTAAGTTTGACTTATAATTATTTTCAATACATGCTGCTGTAGAGTTTTATATCTTTGCTCTTTGACAACACAACACTCTGGCTGTCAAACACATGGATGCTCACTAAAAGTGACAGAAACAGTGTTTATTATTAACAGATCCATTATATGCTGTTTAAATTTTTTAAATTTTCAGTGTGAAAATTAAAATGTCCACTTTGATCCTTGGCCAGTGTTGTTTTAGTTGGCACATCTGTTGCCTCAGATAAAAATGAAAACCTGCATATATGGTCACCAAAGATATCAACAGGTACTAATGTTGTTGCAAAACTCATGAATTGTTTTTAAACACATGAATGATTGCTAAGCATTTGAATGGCTTCCAAAACACATCAATGGTTGCTAACTAAACATCAAGAGTTGACTTAAACATCAATTGTTGCCAAAACCATAATTTGTCATAAATCACATTAATCATTGCAAAACCATCAATGGTTACCAAACACACCAAAAGTTTTCAAATACATGTATGGCTGCCAAATATATAAATGATTGCCAAATACATCAAATATTGCTAAAGACAGCAACGCTTTTGACACATATCTGGAGTAGCCAAACCAATCAGTAGATGCCAAATACATAAATGGTTGCCAAACTCCTGAATGATTGCCATTTACACATCAATGGTAGCAAACACATCTATGGTCATTAGATATGTAAATATTTGCCAAACATATTAAAAGTGGTGAATAACAACTTTGGTGACCCATACATAGAAAGGGGTTGCACACATTCAATATATTGTCATCCACAACCCACATTAGAGGACTGAGGTACACGGCCTTACTCATTAAAAGCAGTCACATTTATCTATGGTCACCTGACACATGCTGAAGAAGTTGGCGACTTGGAGAATGCACCCTTTATTCATCATGTAGATCTACATGTAGTTGTTATATTTCACATATCTATTTATCAGAATAAATAATGGTTTCTATGTCAGATTTAGAATTACGTTGTATTTTGATCTTTTTTTAGTTATCTAAGTATTCAAATTTTTCATCCAAAAGTTATCTAAGGTGCACCATGTAACATATATGGTCTAATGTTGCCTGACATGGCTGTCGAGCAGATCAAAAGTACTTTTAAAAGTTTTGTTCTCAGTTGTTCAATAACCACTTTCTCTGTAAAGCTTCACATACATTTATAAGCACAGTTTAACAAAATCAATAAGATTTTGTATTAATGTATTGATGTTTTTCAGTGTCAAAGAAGCTTAATGTTACAAAATACATGTTGGTGATGGTGGACGGTCAGACATACCAAACTATGAAAAGGGTATCCCTCAAAGATATGGCTGTAGAAAAGAATGGTCTTCTCCTTGTAATGACCTTTGATGCTTCAAAAACTTTAGTATGTAGATTTGTATAATCAATTTAGTCATTCTTATTATCTTATTGTTAACATAATTGACAGTAAACCTTGGCATGTTGGAAGACATGTGTGAACAAGTAAGGTACTGAAATTAAATCTTGCTATGCTCATGTTGATGTGCTAATCATAATTTGTTTTGTCAGTTTGCCAGTCTATCTGCAGACAACTTTTCCTGAAATGGCGTCAGCATCAGTCTGATAAAAACCATCATATTTTAGGGAAAATTTCAAAATAAGTACTGACTGAATGGCTGACAGTGCAGACCATGATCAGACAGCATAGGTATGCCGGCTGGTCTTGGTCGGCTCTGGTCACATAATTATGTTGCTACCACAGGCTTAAAAGGTTAAAGGAAATATAAATCTTGTAAAATAATTATCAATAATTATGTCTTTATTGTTTCATTAATTAATATGAATTCAATTTTATTGAATCTGATGTTAAAATGTACTAAATCTTACAATCACTTTATACATTATCTTCTTTCAGCCTAGTATGAAGGGAAAAGGTATTGGAGTGGCAATATATGACACAAGTATAACAACAATGAAAGCTGATTGGACAGTCAGTAAGACTGGACTTGTTGATGCTCTTGTGATAGGGAAAGCTTATGACAGTGTTTCAACACAACTTATTAATATACTTACTCCTGGAGTTAATCCATTTATTCTTGACCCAAAGTAAGTTCATATTATTAACACACTATAAAAAATTATTTCAAAATGACCTTAAATAACTTAGTTAAAGTATCAGCTTCCATAATATTAAAGCACTTTACCTGAAATAAGGATAATGTGTGTGTCATGTATCAAGGAGCATGCAAAGACAGGGCCCTCATTTCATGAATTTTTGTGCCAAAACTCTGCATCATTCGCTACCCCCATAAAGTATTATATTAAAAAAAAGTTTTTATTTTGCCTTCTTATTATAGTATACCTGCCAAAAGCAAAAGAGCCTCTACAACTTTGTATTGAAACTTGCTTTTTTAGCTCGACTATTTGATAAGAATAAGTAGCGCTATTGTAGTCACCTGAGCGTCGGCGTCGGCGTAACCACTTATGTTAAAGTTTTTGTAATACCTGAAATATTTTCAAAGTCCATTGACATATGGCTTTGAAACTTTGCACACTTGTTCACCATCATGACCCAAACATGTAGACAGAAGGAGGTAACTCTATCAAGCATTTTGACAAAATTATGCCCCTTTTTCGACTTAGAATTTACGTTAAAGTTTTTGTAATACCTGAAATATTTTCAAAGTCCATTGACATATGGCTTTGAAACTTTGCACACTTGTTCACCATCATGATCCCAACCTGTAGACAGGAGGAGGTAACTCTATCAAGTATTTTGACAGAATTATGCCCCTTTTTCGACTTAGAATTTACGTTAAAGTTTTTGTAATACCTGAAATATTTTCAAAGTTCATGAGGCTTTGAAACATGTTGAAATTTTATACTCTTCTTTGACAGCATAATAGGACTCTCTCCAATGCCTATAACTGTAATATGGATTTAAAGAAAAAATTTGCGTTTTTCTTTACTGAGAAAATTTTACCTTTTAATCAAGGCTTTTTTTACTATCAAGCACTAAGAATAGTCGAGCGTTGCTGTCCTACCGACAGCTCTTGTTTCAAAATTAAATAAGCTTCATAAGTATTGTTGCTATTGTAGTCGTGTCAGAAAAAATGGCCTAAAATTAACCTTAAATAGAAAAACTGTGTGAAAATTACCCCTCCTACAGGAACAGGTACAGAAAATTGAAGCTGGACAAGTCCATTTGATAAAATTAGCTGGTTATCGGTAAACAAAAAGATGCAAAATAATTCGCAAGGCCAGATACGGTCATACTTGGTATATATAAGACTGATATACAGTATTTTCAGACAACAAGCTGTATTATTCTAAGAAAAAAAAAAGATGCACGTTTATAAATTGAAGATATGCACAATAAATAAAATCTGTAACATATGTGACAAATTTAGGCATAGAGCAGTATTTTGGAAATTTTTATTCAGCGTGTGCTGATTGTACAACATTTCAGCAAGTACGGAATGAAGAAGACGATAAGCCGATGTTCGTCAGACCAGCTCAGAAGTACAGACATGTATGCATTGATTAACCCATCGTTTGGTGTGGACAACAAACAGAAATGTGAAGACAGATTGTTAGCAAGCAGTGAATTTGCTATCAAGATTAAAGACATCAATTGTAAACTACTGGAGGACACAGATAAACCAGTTCCAGAACACCAGATAACTGTGAAAAAATTGATACAGTATTTGGTGAAGAAAATAAATACTGAGTGTCAATGTGGAGTCACACGGATGCATATTATTGGTAAGCTGCAAACTTGACATTGTGATATTCTTTGTATTTATAACAGACGATGGCAAAATATTCGTAAATTTGTTTACTTTTTTTAACCAAATGTCTATAGCTGCCATTTGTGGGCAGAAGATAAAAGCATTATTTTGCAGTAAAATTTTAAAACAACTCAGCAAATGGAAAATCAAGATCCCCCTAGATCAATGCAAGATGTTAGCAAGTATTACCAAGTAAAACAGAGGAAAGAAACGAACATAAATAACAGAGGAAAGAAACGAACATAAATATTTCAAATTGTTTAATTTGTTGTGAGTGACTTTGGATGCTGACTGTATTACATTATACCTTTACTTTAAATATAAACATAAAGTACAAATGTTATATTTAAAAAATAATATATCCTAAACAGTGATTTTATCACTCAATAAAATCACTGTTAGGAGTTCGGATGAGAGGAGTTATATCACGAGGGTGTAGCTCTCGTGATATAATGATACGCATATGAATGACAAACAGTGATTTTATCAAGCGAAAAAATCTGCGATTTGGATATATTATTTCGATTCCAACACAACATCAACAAATGAATGCTGCCGTACCTGATATTAAGCTAAATTGCGCCTGATTTGTTTCCATACTTATTTTCAGTGCGTTGCATTTTTAGTGGTTACGTCACGTGTATAATGATTATGTCAACTGTGATTTTATTGCATAATAACATACACCTTTAGTTCTTCTATGTTCAAAAGTGAAAAATGCGGGTCATGTTAGAATCAATGTTAGAGAATAAACATATTCATATCCATATAAACAAATTGTTTACATACATGTATATGAGAAAAAAGTCTTAATAACTTGGCACAATTTCAAGATCAACCCGAGAAAACCATGTGCTTCAAACATTTACAACAAAATGGGGAATTAATTTTCTTTTAATTCACTGTGTTCAGATGCAGAAAATTAGATTTTTATTGAAATATGAGTTATAAAATCATACTGATTGTGATTGAAATATTTTTAGTTTATGAGGAGACAATTTGTTTTTACCTTTTTATATGTCATAATACAATGTATGTAAAATTTAATAATTTTGTAACTTTTGGTCTTTTTTTATGAATAATTGTACAATCGTTAGTGACTATTTGAGTAATTCTCATTAACAATCTTGATGAACTTATTTTCAGAACCGCATGTACATTGCTGTGATGGGGCTAGTGTGGATATGAAATTTGTTGCTCCAAACAAAGATCAACTTTTAGAACTACAACATAGTTATATGTCATTCTTGAGTACAGCAACTCATGTCGTTGTACAGAATCAGTTATATTCAATTGATAAAAACTGTTCTAAGAATTGTTGTAATGTGCCTAAACAGCCTAGAAAGCCACACCCACTGACTGTCGATGACACTGCAAGTAAGTTTCATTTTCATTTTTTAGTCTGTTTTGTTAACCAGTTAATAAACACAATTCACTAATTCAGTTTTGCATTTGCTTTTCTTTAACAGCAGTGGTTAACAAACCTTTTTAAAGTACCCCCCTCCCACTTAACTAAGCATATATTCAGTTAACTTTTAGACAATTTACTGCAGGTAAACAAGATGTGTTACTGCATCAAGGTGATGATATCAGTTACTCTAGTTATACCTTCTTTTATCTAATGTATAGGTCTATGCCCTTACGGAATTCACTTATAAGTCACTTATAGGCTATTTTATATGTAGATTATACTTCACTTAGTCAATTTACCTATAAGTCAAGTATATGTATTTTAAATGCAAATTAGATGTAAATGCAGTATATGTTTGGCATTTTGACATATAAGTGAAGTATAAGTTATATATAAGTCACAAATATGTGACATGTAAGTCAAAGATATGCTCAACTTATAAGTAACATATAAGTGACTTATATGTTACATATAAGTAGGGCTGGGGCGAGTATCCGAGTACTCAGAAATCACAAATCAAAGTGAAAAATCGAGTTTGAATATTCGTAAGCCCAGAGATCGTGGATCGCAATTTAATTTTTTTTTTATATACATTCACTGTTACTCAACTCTTAATAATCGAGAAAAATACTATTTGAGTTTAAATTATATGAAGTTTAACTAAATACAGTTTGCCAGTTAAAGACCATGTACCATGATGCTGAGCTAGGAAGTAATTGGTTTCAAAAAACAAAACAAAAATACTCCTCCAAAGAATAAAAACATTTATTGTTGTTGTTTTTTTCTTTTAAATAAACATGTTTTTATAACTAATGTACATGTTTTTATGGGTGTCTTGATAACAAAAGATTTGTGGTTCGATTTGTGAATCGTAAGTGCTGAATCGTGGTTCGAATCAGATCGCCACTTATCCGACGATCCACACCCCTACATATAAGTGACTTAATATAAGTCACTTATAAGTAACATATTAGTCACATGTAAGTCACATATATGTTGCTTGATGTCAAAAATGCTAGAATGAAAATAAAATTTTAGTAATTTAATTTCAAAAATGTTTATTAATTTATATTCTTAGTCATATAAATGAGCAAAATACAAAATTCAGCATACATATCCTTCAGTTCAATCATCTTACATTCACTATAACAAAAACAATATTTATTTCTAGCAGCAAGTTTTTGTAGGTACTCGTTTTCTTGGAATCAAACACTTTGTTTTTTACAATTATTTTGCTGGAAGTCTGTCAGTGAGGAACTTTTCAAATCATAAATTTGTTTCAAATGTTTCTGATTATTTAAACTACTATTTCTTTTATTGATGTCTGTTTCAGTCCTCTGATTCTGTTTCCTCGGAGAACTTCATGTGGCTGTGTTCACCTTTAAAGATAAAATTCATAATTAATTAAAAAAGATGTGGAATAAATTGTGTACTATTGTATATGCAGTTATATTTCATATTTTTTATATCATCAACCTATATTAGCTATTTATGCTTATGCGTATACAAATATACTAAGTTACACAGTATCTCATTTCAGTGCACAAGTCACCAGTCTCTTATAAGAATTGATTAACTGCACTTTTTGCAACAAAATTTATTATATTTTTTTCTGGGAAAGATTTAGAGCAGTATTAGTATAGAGATTAAAAAAATATACCTTTTCAGGCTCCATACTGCATATCATTATTCACCTGGCATCTCAAAGTAAGAACTGGTCCCACTAGCCTGCAATGTATGTAAAATGTAATATCAGATTTCTCCATTGAAAACAACAATAAAATGATAAATGATTATGATGACCTCGTCTTATTCAGCTCATAAAACTTCTGATTGTACTATTTAGTCCTAATAATTCAAATCATCTAACAAATTAATTTGACTATTAAATATAGATTTAAATCAATTACATTTATTAGTAAATCTAATGTATGAAGCTCTTAGAAATAAAAACAGCCTTGATCTCTCAAGTTACAAATTTTAGTTTGCTGCCATCTTACTTTGATTGTTTAATATATAACCTGTATCTGCATAAATGTAACTCAAAAGTATTTACCTGATCCTGTTGTATATCTTCTTGTCCAAGGTGATTCTTCTTGTCATTCTTATTTACCATTACTATACTTAAACATCTTAAACAAAACAATATCTCTAAAATTCCTAAAACATCAAGTAGATTCTCTGTGATTTCCACCAGCTTGCTAACCTAAATGTTTTAGACTTACAACTGTGTACCTGGGCAGGTCCAATATTATGTAAAACAGGGTAAATCCAAAAATCAAAGCACTCATCATTTCTATCTTACAATCATTGAATGTGAAAAAAATCAAATAACTAATAGATATGTAAATTTTAAAAATCATTATACATTTTTGAAAAAGAAAATGCAATGTTCTTTTTTACAAATTCAGGATAGGAAATGTTATCATTCCCCAAAATAATCACATGGAACAGTCTGATTTGTAGGAATGACCAGTCAGAAAATTAGTCATGCACAGATGTGGCAAAGGCAGGTGGCCAGTTTTATCAGACCTCTGATGTATCAGTGGATGTAGAAAATATATGCAATCATCAGGCATATTGGTTCCTTGATTTTATATAGATTAAAAGGGCAATATAAATGAGATTATTTCAAGCACTGTTTTTTAGCTCACCTGAGCTTGCTCAGGGTGAGCTTTTAGGATCGGTGAATGTCCGTCGTCCGTCCACAATTGCTTGTGAACACTCTAGCGGTCGCATTTTTGCCTCAATCATCATCAAACTTGGTCAGGATGCTTATCTAGTTGAAAGCTCGGATGAGTTCGAACATGGCTCATCTCGGATGAAAAACTAGGTCACAAGAGCTAAAAATAGAAAAACCTTGTGAACACTCTAGAGGTCACATTTTTGACCCAATCATCATCAAACTTGGTCAGGATGTTTGTCTAGGTGATAGCTCGGATGAGTTTGAACATGGGTCATCTCGGATGAAAAAGTAGGTCACCGGAGCTAAAAATAGAAAAACCTTGTTAACACTCTAGCGGTCACATTTTTGCATCAATCATCATCAAACTTGATCAAGATGCTTGTCTAGGTGATAGCTCGGATGAGTTCGAACATGGGTCATCTCGGATGAAAAACTAGGTCACAGGAGCTAAAAATAGAAAAACCTTGTTAACACTCTAGTGGTCACAATTTTGACTCAATTGTCATCAAACTTGGTCAGGAAACTTGTCTAGGTCATTGCTGGGAATAAATCGAACATGGGACATCTCGGATGAAAAACTAGGTCACAGGAGCTAAAAATAGAAAAATCTTGTTAACACTCTAGTGGCTACTGTTGTGATCCAAATATTCTGTTAATTGGTCTGAAAGTTTGTTTTGATGATTTCTAAGTCAAGATCGAACATGGGTCATCTTGGATGAAAAACTAGGTCACACCACCCAAATATGGAAAAACCTTGTTAACATTCTAGTGGTCACATTTTCGACTTAATTATCATCAAACTTGGTCAGGATGCTTGTCTAGGTAATTGCTTGGATGAGTTCGAAATCGCATGTGAAACTAGGTCACCGGAGCTAAAAATAGAACAATCTTGTTAACACTCTAGTTGCTACTGTTTTGATCCAAGTATCCTGGAAATTGGTCTGAAAGTTTGTTTTGATGATTTCTAGGTCAAGTTTGAATATGTGTCACCTGGGTAAAAAACTAGGTCGCACTGCTCAAATATGGATAATCCTTGTTAACACTGTAGTGGTCACATTTTTGACTCACCTGTCATGAGACTTGGTCAGAATGCTTGTCTAAGTAATTGTTAAATGAGTTTTGTTAAGTCAGGTGAGCGATCTAGGGCCATCATGGCCCTCTTGTTTTTATTGTTTAAATATCTAAAATACACTAGGCCTAAATGTCTTAAAAATAACACTTGTATATTAAAAAAATACACCTCTTTTTCTTGTTAGAATATCTTACTTCAGCAAAATTAGGTCTGTATTAAGTACAGTAGTTAAAAATGTATAGATTTCAATGTCTGTTTCAAGTTTGAAAAAAAACAAGAGTAGAATTTTGCCTTGGGTGATTTTTATGTGAAATATTTTTTCCTTGTGAGAAGAAATGACATAGAATTTCATTTCTGTCCATGGTAGCCTAGAAATCACTGATTGAATGCCATTTCTGTCCCAATTCCACACAGAATCTGTGCCAAAATTTTTTACAGGTAAAATACTTAATTGATAATCATTTTTCCTATTATCTTATTTAAAAAAAACCAGCTGTGTTCAAAAATTAATAAGCAACATTTAAAAAAAAAATCTTAATTGTTTGTGATTAAGGTCTAAGATTATAGTATTTTAAATTCTGAGTATTTTGATACCCATTGTGTTAAAGCAAAGACTTACAAATCAACTTCAATAAATTTTATCAATTTTTCTCATGTTTTTGTACTTAGTAGTTTTTTCAGCTTTGCTCAGTAATAAAAAGTCTTGCAAAAGTTCTAAGTTTTCACTTATATCTAACATAGAAACTGGTTACTTCAAACTTCACCAGTATAAGGCACTTATAAGTGACTTGTATGTGACTTACATGTTTGGGAAAAATGGCCAAAAATGACTTATATGTAGCATATACCTATAACTGACTTAGACAGGTTTTTAGGTGATTTATAAGTGACTTATATGTTACTTATAGTTCTCTTATAAGTCAAGTATAAGTTGCATATAAGAAACATATAAGTCACTTAAAGTCATTGTTAAATTTGATGATTGTGTCAATTTTCCAAATTACAAAAAAACAAGCATTTTTTTCTTTGATCATTAATTTTTCAAGATTAAAACAAACAATAACTAAATCTTAAAAAACTTGCTTAAACCTATGTACATTTAAAACACATAATAATTAAATTAATAGATTTGTGAAATTCAAGGAAAGCAGACTAAAAACAGTAACATTAAAGTTTTACTTCATTCAAAAGACTACTGGTTGGGGACCACAAAAACCGGACAACCACTGAATCCGGACGGCCCCGAAAATGCTTAATTTAGTATTTTCTTTGTTCGGTGTTTGTCAGTCACTTTTTATCAACAATAAGTGCATGTTTCTTTTAAAATTAAGTAAATAAATGTATTTCAACCTCCGTAAATGGTAATATTTTAATTTATATTTCAAGAATGTTGACGTTGAAATTCGGGGGTAAAGAAAGCAATGCCTGACCTCATATACCAGCTATAATCATTCGCAGAGTGAATAATAGAATATCCAAAAGTTCAGCATTTGTTGCTGACATACTGTATATCATGTTACAAATCAAAAATCAAAACACCCAAGCTTTTATCTGAATTAAATCATATCATGCACATAGCTGTCCGGACACATGGTACTGTAGTGTTGACAATTTAGGTAATTTTGATACCCTCCTTGTCGAGCCTCAGATGTAAGTGTCAATACAATCAGAAATAAACAAACTAGTTTGTTAGTTAGGAGAAGAACCTAGCTGAACTGTGTCAAATTTTTTGGTCTCTAGGTTAAAAATTATGAACTCTGTACTGGCAAATGTTCCAAAAGTGTCCGGTTGATGGTCTCCGACCAGTATGGGTAATACTGTTTCTAATATGATCCTTTATGACCTTATTATCTGCCAGCTTTGTATGTAAAATTTACCAACTCCCACCTCGGATTTTTGTCTGTAAATCTCATATAAGTTTTCATTATATTAAATCAATCCTACTATCTAACATTAACCTATATCTAATTCTATCTGTCACAACCACATCATTATTTACAACCATATTCTCAGACGGAAATAATAAATTTATTTCTTCAAGAAGGAAATATTTCAGCAGATCTCAGATGTTGACAAATGACAAATCAAGAAATTTAATTATGGTCTATTTCATACATTCTATTTTTCTCAATATCAGACTAGGTGATAGAAAACTAATTATCATCTGGTATCAAGAAGACATGAATGTAAGATTCTGAACTTCCATGATTTGTTTAATCATTAATGTTACACTCCTTTCTCTATTTTATTACATTTAAAGTTATAGGAAGTGTCTGCATGAGAGATATTAATACTATTTTTCTTCTACTTTCTGAGCTATTTTCTTGCCTAGTCTTATGTTGTACGTTATTTAGGTTAGCCTCATTTCACAGATTAGCAGGGCTATATATCTGCACATTTTAGCCTATTATTTGGACTGTGCATGTCTGTAGGAAAGTCAGTCACATGGTTGCTGGTAATGGGTTGCTATTATTAGGGCATACATTCGTCACATAGTTGCTGTTAATGGGTTACCATTGTGAGGGCATACATTCGTCACATAGTTGCTGTTAATGGGTTACCATTGTGAGGGCATACATGCGTCACATAGTTGCTGTTAATGGGTTACCATTGTGAGGGCATACATTGGTCACATGGTTGCTGGTAATGGGTTGCCATTATGAGGGCATACATTCGTCACATGGTTGCTGGTAATGGGTTACCATTGTGAGGGCATACATTTGTCACATGGTTGCTGTTAATAGGTTACCATTGTGAGAGCATACATTTGTCACATGCTTGCTGTTAATGGGTTACCATTGTGAGGGCATAAATTCGTCACATGGTTGCTTGTAATGGTTTCTGGTAATGGGTTGCTCTTATGAGGGTACAATTGGTCACATGGTTGCTGGTAATGAGTTGCCATAATGAGGGCATACATGGTCACATGCTTGCTTGTAATAGGTTGCCATTATGAGGACATACATTTGTCACATGGTTGCTGTTAATGTGTTACCATTGTGAGGGCATACTTTCGTCACATAGTTGCTGTTAATGGGTTACCATTGTGAGGGCATAAATTCGTCACATGGTTGCTGGTAATGGTTTCTGGTAATGGGTTGCTCTTATGAGGACATACATTGGTCACATGGCTTTTGGTAATTAATAGGTTGCCAATTTGGGAGCATACATTGGTCACATGATTACTGGTAATGGGTTGCAATTATGAGGGCATACATTGGTCACATGGTTGCTGGTAATGGGTTACCATGAGGGCATAAATTTGTCACATGGATGCTGGTAATGGGCTGCCATAATGAGGTAGCTTTTGGTAATAGGTTGCCATTATGAGGGCATACATGTTTCACAAAATTCTCTTGTTTATTATTAAGGACAAAAACGATTAAAAATAAATTTTGCAACATGACTATGATGTAAATATAGTCAAAACATTTTGACCATGTGTAATATGCAATGGATTCTTTTAGATTCTCTGGCTGCTGATTCAGAAATCATGTAGGATAACTAATTGATCACTTTCAGAGAAATTGGTAACAACTTGTTAGTTATCAAGATAAGCCAGTTAGTTGAATGGACCGTTTAGATATGACCAAAAGTTGTGTTAATAACATGTAAAACAAACATCTGTTAGGATATTATATTTTGTGAATTATGATTTTCAGAGAATGTGAAGGTGACTGTTGCTGTTATAGTGAGCTGTCTCATTGTGTTTATGATAATAGTTCTTGTTGTCATCATGTACATGAGGAGGAAAAAGAGTGCAGTATAGTGAGTATATTTATTCTAAAAGTTTATTTGCTTTTAAATACACATTAGGCCTTAAATTAATAATTAGGCCTTAAATTAATATGATTTCTTTGCTAAAGAATAGGCACCTCTGATGAATGGATAAAGCAGTGTTTTGTTAAATTTCGTTAATGGATTTAGAGCATGTTAGATACTTACCATGTGAAGAAGGTAGCAGTGAATGTGAAATAATTTGTCAGGTATCAAAATGTAAACAAAATGGTATTTTGTCTTCCCTATGCAAAAAAAAAATTGAATTAAAAGGTGTAAAATCAGAGGTTATTTCTCTGCCAGTAAAAGCTGAAATGTTTACTTGATATTGCTATGATTTAAAACCCGGCTGTAAAAAAATAAATATCTTAGATTTAAATCTCCCACAACTGCTTTAAACTGTTTCATGGCTACACTTTTTTTATCAGAATATAAATTCCTTATTTTCAATAAAACTTCCTTATTTGTAGTCAATTCCGCATGTCTAGATTAGATGAGGAGGATGAGTTTGAAGTTGACACGCCCGAACATGAAGATTTTGTCGGAGGTCAAGAGGCAACATTTGATATCAATAGTCGATATCAGTAGCTGATATCAACCAATCAAAAAGCTCAGGAGACGTTTCCATGACAACCATTCATCCTGTGATATATAATGATCCATCCATGATTAGCATCCCAACGACATATCAACAATAATTTGATACAATGTATATTTTCTTACTTTTTTAGTGTTATACCTTAATTCAAAAAGTATATTAATACGTAGTTGTGAACAACAATCAAATCTAAGAAAAAAAATCAGGGTTTTTTTCTAAATTTCTTTTGAAGACTGTGTTATGTATATGGATTTTTGTACATGTTTATATTTAATATAAATGGAGCAATTTTTTTTCTATTTATGACAGCGAGTTGTATTCAAATAAACAGTAAGTGATACAGGTTATACCTCACTAATGATATATCATATTTCATTGCTAAATATTTTATAGAAGAAAATGTATATTTTGGTAATTCAATAATGCATATATTTTGAAGAAGTAACAAAAGCATTTGAAAAGTAGTGGTAGTGTTTGATGTAAGTTTCATTTTATGAACCAATTTTTTATTTCAATAGCATCCTGTTACCTTCCTGGAACTCACATGATATATTAGCCTTTACCACCAGTATAGAGTCAGGTCAGGCAGGCAGGCAGCACATCCATGCAGTCTGACCAGGCTTTATATTGTTGGCTGACTATCCCTAAACTTTAATTTTGATGTCTCAAAATTTGATAAAAACAGTTCAAAAAATGTAAGCTTAACAAGTCCATTTATGAAATTAACCAGGTTACGGGTTGTTTACCCACTTAGTTTATTATGGGGGGGGGGGGGGGGGGGGTATGGGATTAGTAATCAAGGATTTGCTGGTTTTTTAAGTTGCAAAATTACATAAAAATTGCAGACTTGGTTAATATCTGTAAAAAAAGGTGATCCCTCTGAAGCATCAGATACAGGAAAATTATATTGAAAATTGCAGACTTGGTTTGATTGAGTCTGCACATGAGGGATATAGAAAAAGTGCAGCATCCCTCACGCCCCCTAGCATTGGCTTGAGCAGTACTTGATTTTTCAACACTTAAAAGTGTTGGACTCAAAGTCTTAATGTCATTTGTCTCAGAAGTCATGTCTGTTTAGTAGTCAATCACTTATGGATAAATGGAAATAACTGGTTAGTTATCCAGGCAAGCCTGTTGAGTGGATCTACTGGCCAAACAATTTGTTAAAATAGGTGAAATTTGTACACACATTTCATTGAACCACCAGACATTTTTCTTCTTCTTTTTTTGGCTTGCACAATTTATTTTTATTTATGCCAACTATATTTATCATACATTTTCAGCCAGATATAATGAAAAAATATCAGAAGATTTTTATATACATGTACTTTATATATATGATCCATTAGTTAAGCTTTAATAATATGCTCTTTTGTACTGAATAATTGAATTTTTATTATGTTTGAATGAGGCCTAATTCTGAATATTGCATTTAAATGATTTTTCATAGGTTGTGCTAATTGTTGTTTAACTTCTGTGTTTAATTAAAATGACAAAATGCTAGAATTAAGCATTTAAATGTTGTAGGAATAGGATATAAGCCATGTATGTGAAAGTTGTATAATGTGTTTAATTTGATAATTATAATTATATTTGATTAAAGCTATGCAGTAGTGTTACCTTTGGTTTAACTGTTATGCTTTTAAGTGTTGGTAAAGGTAAATCATTTATCTTTACTCTCACACTTTGGAGAACAAAAACATGATCATTATGACAGTTTCAGTAAGTTTATCATGACATAAAACTATCTACCTTCCAATAATGTCAAACCCGTCACAGGGACGTAGACATTAAAGTTATGCAGCATGACATTAAAGTTTGAATTAGTTTACTATTAAATAAGGTATGTATAACATAACAATACAGTTGAATAAGTTTACCATGACAAAAAAAAATGTAACACGACATTAAAATTAGAATACTGTTACTATGAAATAAAGGTTATGTAAAAGGACATTTGAGCTGTGTCACGACAAAACCAACATAATGGGTTTGCGACCAGCATGGATCCAGACCAGCCCGCGCAGTCTGATCAGGATCCATGCTGTTCGCTATCTGTTTCTCTACTTGTTATAGGGTTTGTAAGCGAACAGCATGGATCCTGATCAGACTGCGCGGATGCGCAGGCTGGTCTGGATCCATGCTGGTTGCAAACGCATTATTAGCTCGACTATTCGAAGAATATGAGAGCTATTGTAGCTATTGCATTAAGGGTCATAATTGTAGGTCACTGACAAAGATCCATAATTCTATCTTGCATTTAGGCTGATTTTTCTCCCCTTTTTCAACTTAAAAATTCATGGTAAAGTTTTGCTTGTAAGCTGTTATCTCAATTACTACTGAAGGGTTTGTGCCCTTTTTTGGGACAATTTTATGCATTCATAATAATAAAGCAGTGATTTACTTGATAAAACATCTTAATTAGAAGCCTATGTACTTTTTCTGTCAAATATATGTATTCATAGGTAATTAGTATTATTATACTCAATAAAACAACCTTGTGACATTACCTTCCGAATAGTCAAGCCAATATTGTATAATTAGACTCTCTCTAAGGCCTATAACATGAATTTATTAAAAAAAAATTAGACCTTTTGTGATCTTAAAAAATTTAACATTATCAAGGCTCTTTTACTATCAAGCACTTAGAATAGTCGAGCGTGCTGTCCTACCGACAGCTCTTGTGTTGGTTTTGTCATGACGCAGCTCATTTAAAGGTTAGAATAAGTTTACCATGACAAATATTATATAACATGACATGAATTCTTTTACTATTCACTATGCAAGGTATTTATTTTTCCATGACAAAGATACTGTATATTTAATTAACTTTCATTTCCATTTCACTCAATATCACCATGACATTAAATTTTGCATTCCATTTTGCCCTAATACTATAATTTTGTATGATTTATATTGATATTGTGTTTGAATTTAATTTAAATTTGATATAACTTCATGTTTGTTTATATCTTATTTTGTATATGAATATTAATTTTAAGATTGTTTGGACACTTGTTACTGTTATTACTTAATTTAACAACTGAATTCTATTGAAATTAATAACTTAATTATCATAGAATAGTATAAATTTTAGTAGTATTTACTAGATACTATTTCAGGGATATGAAAGGTGTATTCATATGAAATATAAATTTATATATTATGTTAATACATACAAAAAAATTATCAAGATTTGCTACTCTGCAGCCAGTGTTAAAGGGACTCCACTGAGGTTTTTTGACGTGAAGGGACCGAAAATATTTTTTCAAGATTTTTTTATAACTAGATGTATGTCTAGACCAATACCTAATGTACAAAATTTCAGATCATTCACTCACTCCGTTTCCCAGAAAATGGCAAAAAAATGGCATAAAAATCGATTATCAATTTCATATCATGTATATTTATATATCATCTATTGATTGGTTTCAAGTTTAAATGTACCAGTTGATTTAAGAAAGAATTTCAAAATGTATTATTTTAGGCTATTGGACATCAGTGGAGTTCCTTTAATTACCTAAGTGCTTATTTTCTAGTCATTTTTTTAATTGCTTTTTTAACAGTTTAATGCATTTTGACATTGTTGTTTTTGCTTATATTTTCATAGAACTTTGATATACATGTACATTATTAAATAATAAAAAAAAAACACAAAAAAAATAAACATGATTAATTTTTGCTGTAAAAAATAGATTCCCCCCCCCCCCCTCTTATTTCATTCATTTTTATGCCCCAACAAAGTGGGGGGCATATAGCGTTGCACTTGTCCGTCCGTCCATCCATCCGAGCAAACATTTTGGGTTTAGGGGCTATATAACAGTAAAGAGAACAAAAGAGAACAATAGGTTCATTCCGTGATCAAAGGGTTTAGGGGCTAGTAGCCCTTAAGAAAACAAAGAAAATAACAAAGAAAATAGCCCCTAAACTCAAAATGGTGGAATGTCCGTTCATCCGTCCGTCCGAGCAAACATTTTGGGTTTAGGGGCTATGTAACAGTAAAGAGAACAAAAGAGAACAATAGGTTCATTCCGTGATCAAAGGGTTTATGGGCTAGTAGCCCTTAAGAAAACAAAGAAAATAGCCCCTTAACCCAAAATGTTGGAACGTCCGTCCGTACGTCCCGAAATCTTGTGAATGCAACTTCTCTTAAACCGGATGGCAGATTTTGCTTAAACTTCCAGGGATGAACAACCTTAATGTGTAGATGGTAGTAAAGGAAGGAATTTTTGCTGCGACCAAATTTAACAGAATTATGGCCCTTTGTTGATTTTTTCACTATATACCATATATATGTTGTCGGTGGGGGCATCCGTGTCCTTTGGACACAGTTCTAGTTTGGACAGTTTTTGTATGTTTCCATGTTGTTGAATTTATTTTGTCTCCACTCGACCAAGTATAATCTACTGGAAATTATCCTTTAATTGTATAGAATGTATAGGAAATCATGCATTTATCTGTATTTTGGTTAGATTAACATCTAAAATTTGCCATTTGACCTGATTTCCAGACACTTGTGCCAAAGTTATTGACAGTTAAGCAAAAATGATAAATGTAGATTAGTCAGAGTGTAGCTGTAAAAGTCTTGTTTCTGTGTTTATTATTGAAAAAAAAATATTTATCATCATTGTCCCATCTTGCAAAAGGTGAGCATTTATTCTTCATTTTTTATGTCAAGAAAATATTTGTGCTTATTTCGCCTTGATATAAATATGTAAATGAATGAAAATTAATTATGATTATTGAATAATGTTAATGATTGTGTTTTTTGGACTCTGTTGTGTAATTTGTAAATATATTGTTCAAGGGAACTAACTGTGGAAAGTTTGTTAGACAATCTCCTAACAGTCTCTTTTTGTTTGTTTAATATTGTACAGTCATTCTGGTATGCTCGTTTTTTGTTTGGTTTTTTTTTACAAACTTCGAGTTAGCGTGTTCAGGTTGTGGGTGTGTCACAAGAGCGTAAGTAGAGCCATTTGTCCTTCACCTGTAAATCAAGATTTGTTTGATTGTTCCTTACAGTTAATCAGTAACAAAATCCCAAGATGTGATATATTTAACAGATGAATTTCAGTTATTGAATAAGTATAAAAAATACATGTATATAAATGAATATATGATTTTTTTTCAAATGTGTTGAATTTTAAATGGCTCTCAGGTAAATATTCTTGCCTTAAATATACACTATGGAGTATTGTTGAAAATGATAACATTTTATTTTACATATATGTTTTCACATGATTAAGACTTAGAAGTAGAAATATTAATAGTAAACAGATTCAAAGTAAATATAACACTTCTTAGAAACAATAACATTTGAGCCGCGTCACGACAAAACCAACATAATGGGTTTGCGACCAGCATGGATCCAGACCAGCCTGCGCATCCGCGCAATCTGATCAGGATCCATGCTGTTCGCAATCAGTTTCTCTACTTGTTATAGTTTGTAAGCGAACAGCATGGATCCTGATCAGACTGCGCGGATGCGCAGACTGGTCTGGATCCATACTGGTCGCAAACCCATTATGTTGGTTTTGTCGTGACACGGCTCATTTTATCTACTGTATGGTAGCAATCTTGTTTTGTCTCTAATTTCCCATTTCCCTCACTCCCGCGTAGTTAATCTTATATCATTCAAATGTTATTAATTTTGTTATTATTTTTTTCATTTAGTAATACAATATGTTGTTTGATCTGTATAGTGAAATTGCCCTTTATTGAATTTGGAATAGACCATGCAAGATTTATGGGATTTTAATACCAAG